AAAAAAAAAACAAAAATGATTGAAATTACATTTTTGTCGTTGTAAAAATATTTGTCCAATTTTAGCCAAAATACTATTTTTTTTTGGTACAAGAAAGGAGGCAAAGCGTACATCACGACTATGTCACTACCCTACGAGAATAAGACACGCCAGTGATATCATGTTGTAACCATAACCACGCCCCCGGAAGAGGACGCTCCAAAATATGCAAACCACCCGATCCTTTAGCTGCCAAAGACGTCAAATAGTCTGCCACAAATTAAATTAACCTCACGATAGCCATGAGCAACCGTCACACGCCATGAGCGACCCATCAACTCCTTAATGCCCTTTAAAATGCTCCCATGCGGCCCATTAGTGTCCTCTTGATGTACCATCGCAACAACACTTTGGTTATCCACCTTCACTGTGATATTACGAGCTCCAATATCCCACGCCAACTTCAAACACTGGAACAACCCCCAAAATTCGGCACCCACAACCGAGCAAAAACTAATATTCATCACAAACCCGCGAACCCAATTGCTATAGTGATCACGAATGATGCCACCCGCACTCGCCATTCCCGTGGATGAATTAAAGCTACCATCGGTATTTACTTTAAGCACACCCTCGGATGGGAAAGACCATGATAGCCAACGTGTGTCACGAATCCCACAGGCACCTAATCCACCATTGTTATCACGTACCAATTGGAATTGGTGCACAAAAGATCGAATCTCGCCAAGCCTGTGAGTCAAAATAGTGTCGGATTCTTCGAAAACTTTGAGATTCCTCCATCTCCATAATCGCCATACCGTAATACCAAAAATCGTCTCCCACTCCTCAACCATCGGTAGTAGACGACCTGATAAATTATTAGCAAGCCAGGGCCCAAAATCCAACGAGAAAAAATCGTGCCACCTGCATCTCAGAACAAGCTTCTCCCATGTCTCCCTCGTAACTGCACAGTCCTTGAGCACGTGGGTTGTTGTCTCAATGGTCAGTGAACAAACTGGGCATCCCGCATGCATCGCGAGGTGACGTCGATGGCGGACTGCATTGGTCAACAGGCTTTTTTGAGCGGCGAACCAAAGGAAATGATGAACACGTTCTGGTCCGACCCAATGCCAAATAGCCTTCCATAAGCCCGCAGCACTCTGATCGCTAGGTTGAGCTAACGCCGCATAGGCCGACCTCGTCGTTAACTTCCCATCTGCCGACCACCCCCAGTACATGCCGTCGTCGTCTCCATTCTCCTGCGGCGGAGGAGTTGCTGAGATTCACAAGAGATAAGTCGCCGGCAGCAGCCCTTGGAAAGCGGACCAATCCCAAGTTCCATCTGGGTGAACAAAGAAAGAGACCGTGCCATATAAAATCGATTCCGGGATCGGGGCCGCCGCAATTGATCAAGGGGTGTGGAATATTTAACCACCTATCCCACCAGAAGTGAGTTGTTCGTCCATTACCCAGAAACCATCGACAACCCGCAACGGTCTCCGGCCACATATCGCGAATAGCTCGAAGAACCGTCGACCCTTGAGGAAACTTAAAATCCGCACCCATCTCCATTGGTCTAAGCTGGTACTTCGCACGTAGCATTCGACACCACAATAGGTTCGGTTCTGTAAGGAAACTCCATGCCATCTTCATAAGAAGGGCTTTATTTATAAGCCGTTACTCCTTCATTCCTAGTCCACCCTCCGCCTTTGGTTTACAAACTTCCGACCAAGACACCAAACTCGTCTTACGAGTTGAAGTCGTACCACCCCATATAAAGTTTCGACATTTGCGTTCCAAACTGTCACACACCCCATACAGAAGCGAGGTTGTTTGCATGGAGAAGTAAGGCAACGAACTCAAGACAGACTGGGCTAGAGTCACCCTGCCTGCCATTGAGAGGGTCGAGGCCTTCCAACCAGCAAGGCGTTGCTCCGCCTTTTCAAGAATCTGAGCATACATCCCCGAATACATTAGACGAGAAGAAGACTTTTGTCTTGGGCTCACTAACTTTCAGGCCCGAGGCCTGACAAAAAGCCTGCAAAGTAAGCTTCAAACAGTCTGCTTGGTCCGGAAAGGCCTCGATAAACAGGAGAAAATCATCGCCAAACATAAGGTAAGGCATGGTAATGAGTCCCCGCCCCACTGTAAGCGGCTTCCACTCCCTAGAGGTCACCGCTCCATCAATCATGTGAGCCAACCTTTCAATGCAAAGAACGAATATATAAGGCGAAATAGGATCACCCTGTCGGATCCCTCGAGTGGGAGTGAATTCTTCGCTAACCCCCCATTCTACTATAATCGCATGGTTGCCGATGTAACACATGCCATCACAGCATTAACAAATACCTCCAGAAAACAGACAAGAGCCAAAGACTCCCGAATGAAATCCCAGCTAAGATAGTCATACGCTTTTTCCAAATCCACCTTCACTGCCGTAAACCCCTTCTTCCCATGCATTTGGCGCATCGAGTGAATCAGCTCTTGGGCCATAACGATGTTGTCAGTGATATGCCGGTCGGGCATAAAGCTCGCCTGAGCCGGGTTAATAACCAAAGGGAGTACTGACTTAATCCGCTCCGCTAGGACTTTCGTCATCAGTTTATAAACCACATTAAGAAGACTAATGGGCCTGAACTGTTTCAAACAAGTATGGTTCTCCACTTTAGGTTTCAACACGAGTAAGGATGTATTTAAAGAGGTAGGAAGCCGACCCCCTCGCCAAATATCCCGAATCTGATCACATATGGATGGGCCAACATGATGCCACTTTTGCTGAAAGAATAGGGCATGAAGGCCATCTAACCCAGGAGCCTTCAACGGAGGCATTTTCTTGAGGGCCCGATAGCACTTCTGTATCCGAGATGGGACGGCCGAGTGCATCGATCGTGGTCCTCGCCATACCCCAAAAAAGCCGCTGGAATCCGAGCCGGTGACGTCGCTACGATCGGGGCCATGTAGATGTCTCGGAAAAAAGACACAACCATAGGCAATAGGACGGACTGGTCATGAACAACTTGCCCATCCCATCCACAAGAAACAAAATTTTAGACTTCCGCCTTCGGTGCTTGACTAGCTTGTGATAATAGTGTTAGAGGTATGCTGCAAAAGCGAAGTTTTGTAGTTTCTATCAATTCCATTTTGATATGGCGATCATGTTTCGGTCAAAGTACATATGTTTGCAGTTTATTTATTTATGTAATACATACTCCATGTCTTATATTGAGCTAGTGTGGTTCGAAGAGTTTCGAACAGAAAGATCACCTATCAGTTCCTTATAAGACTAAACTATTCGTTCACAGTCTAGACTGACAATGAGACCCCACTTAGAAAAAGACTGTAGTGTATTCCCGATTAATTCTAGTAGAAAAAACGTTTTTTATAACGGGTAAAAATGACTTTTTATAACGATTTTGAGTTTGTTATAGTTTCAGGTGTTATAGAAAGTATGAACTTTCTATGACGGTTGTTGAACCGTTATAAATTGACTGCTATTTATAACTGGTAACATAGACCCGTTATAAATATTTAATTTACCTGTTATAGACTACACTATTTTATAACAGTTTCTCATTCACCCATTATAAAATATACTATATTTATAACGTACTTTCATTTAGCCGTTATAAAAACAATAAATTTGATAACGGTTAAATAATGACCCGTTATAATTTCGAACTGGCATTTAAATAGCACAATTTTTTATATCGTCGATAACACCTGTTATAAAAAATGGTGCAAAATTCTATTTAAAAAAAAAAAAAACTACCATATTAACAAAAAAACAAATCTAGCATATCAACAATACCAAGTGACAAATAGTTTCACACCACATGTTCAACAAACTCCGAAGCCTGTCTAACAAAAGTCTAATCTTATCCTACTTCATAATGAAGTTATATCGAGAAAATACTGAATCCAACGTCTCGTTACATCATTAATATCATCACTCCAGAAGGGTTCGTCCAAATTAAACACCTGAAATTTGAAAAAAATAATTATAACATACGATCAAGACAAAAAGATATAACAAATTATTTACTTGAAATTATACTAGTGCTTGATATTTATAAATTATTTTTGTTTACAATTACCTGATCAAAGTTGTTAGTAACGTCGAGCGTGATGATTTCCAACATATATCTCATAACAAATACCCACATTCAACACCTCCCGATTGTTGGCGACACTTGTAAAATATGAAAAGAATCGTATAAAATTAATAACTTACGAAAAATAAGATAAATGTAATGATTAAATTTCTAGTAACAAAATGAAATTGCAAGTTACAAAAAAACATTGTTTAAAAAATAAATTTACCTTTGGATAGACCAATTCGGGTTTCTGTTTGTAGAGACGATTTCCCTTTATTAGCTGATATGTGGAAAATGCCCTAACAAAATAAATGTAAAATAGAGAATTTAGTTTCAAAATAAATTCTAAAAAATAGATCAAAATCATCTAAAATAAAACATACGTCGTGATTATCTGGACTATATCATTCTTAAGCTTTTTTTTGACAAGGAATAGAACCAAATCCACCGTGTATAACTCGTGTTGAAACCATCGCAAATGACATGCTCTCTGATTTCTTCAACAATAGTCG